CAATGTCGATGACACCCGTCTCATGAGTTGGTGTGTCTTGATTTACGAAAGGTGTTTTGATGGAACAACCTTAGACTCTCTCTCAAGGCTCCCCAATGAGGCCACGTGACCCAGCTGCTTCTGCACATCTAATAGCCAGGACAAGCACTCCTGGTTGGCCAAGCCGTGCAGGGGGCCTGCCAGGGTATCCGTTGGATTGCCATTGAGCAAAGCAATGGATAGCAATGCATTGCATTGTATTGTATAGGGTGAACTTGAACCCCCACACCGACTCATTTCCTTTCGAATGCGGCAAATCATGTGGACATGTGTAGTAGTATGCACATAGTTAAAATACATCACCATTCATAAATAAATAAATAAATATATATATATTATATATACATATGTGCACAGCTTGAATGAAGTCAACAAGTGTATTGTTTCTCAAGTCATGTCCTTGTTCACAAGCCTCGTGCAAATCCATGCTTGCTCAAATGCCTATTGCCTTGCCATGTGTGGTCGCAAGTTGCACGCGTGGCCGCGCAGAAACGTCTCTTGCGACTCACGTGGGCCTGCAAGACCACAAAGCCCTGCGGCCCAGGCATAGTAGGGATCGCTCAAGGCAGAACCCACCAAATGCGTGGCATGTGCTGAGACGTTTCCTCCCTCATGATCCGCATGAAGCATCAAATACAAGCCTGAGCCGCATTAAGCAGCAATGCGCAAACAAAATAAGCATGCAAAGTGGGGGAAGCTGCTTGGATTTCAACCCCTGAACACTTATGTTATGTGGCTGGAATGTATAAGGAAAATGCATGAGAATGAGAATGTTTAAGACATAACACCGAACAAATGGGCCAAAACTGTGGATGCAGCTGTTCTAACCAAGTGGTCGAAAGTGAGCTCGGCGTCGAAAGAAACCCGCCGCTGAAGCCCAGGCACGGACGGCTTCTTTGAATCCAGCGTCCTGATTCACCCCAAGCATCTGGGCAAAGTTGGCTGCCCAGTCCAAGTTGGTGTCATACGCAGGCACCACTCCGTCCTGCAGGTCTTCTTTTTCTGGGGGTGACACCGGGTGGCACATGGTATTGCCTGGGTATGGCGACCTCCCCCTCATCCCAGGCAAATCCTGAAAAGTTCTACGGTAGATCTTGGCCGCGATCGTGGGGATCTTCGCAATGATGTCCAAGGCATCCTCCAACGCATAGACCTGGTGTGCCAAGCTGTCCATGGCTTGTTTTCGTGGTAGGTTCATGGAAGAACTCATGGCACACTACCAGCACACATGGAGGTGGAAGATATTTCCTTCAAAGACTCTGTTACATTCTGTTGCTCTGCAAACATGCAGGGCGTCTTTGGAGGAGCAGATCCGAACTGTGTGCAACACTCAACCACTTCTGGGGCCATGCATGGGGCAAATGATTGCAGTTTGAAAACTGCCTGGGATGTGCCTGGGGGACATGGACCTACCATGGACATGAAATTGCAAAATTGCCAGGCCAATGTACTTTGAAGCACCGACCAGGAACAAACTCCGCACATGGTTCTGAGATGTTCTGAACCCAGCTAACTCCTCCCGCTGTGGCAACTCTAGTGACACCAAGGTGCCCAGTACTGATCCTTCTTCATGCCCTCCTGATACTGCTGATTGAACTTGGAGTCCTTCTGCAAGGCCAACATGGCCACACTGAGCTGTGTCATCGGGTGGGTGTCCAACGGCAGGGTGTCGAGCGTGTCCTCAGCCGGCGCATGGGACACATGCAGCTTCAGCTTCGCTCCCACGCGGTCCAGCCCACGCGGCCCGCAATGCAGAAACTGCCGGTCATGGTTTTGGGGATGTTCCGTGGGTGTCATGGTTGTGGGGATGCGCCCCCAGGGCCAAAGAACTCGACGTCCGGTGGTGGCAAGGCGGAATGGACTGTGCAACGGTAAGGGAACATGTGCTCTAGTGAAACAACACGGAGGAACAATACTTTTCTACCACTTTTTCGTTTCCGCCACTTGAGAGGTACCCTGCCTCCTGCAAATTAACATGCATGATCCCCAAAACCATTGGGTTGTAGAGCAACATGGTCTGAAAACGGATCAATTGTCAGGGCCCATGTTCGTGTGCAAGGGGTTGTATCTGGCACCACCTGAGCAATCCTTGCTTGTGCCGGGTCTCCAAAACGTTCTTCGGCACCTCATGGCGCTTGTGGAGCTCCTCGGTGAGTCCATGCACTTCCTCCTCACTGGGCTCCTCACCTGTGACCTTAGGGGTACGGGTGAGATCGAAAAAGCCTCGAACGAAAGTCGGTGGACAGTTGGGATGTGAACTGAGTTGGGTCCGTGTACACGCGTGATTGAACAAAACAACTCAAAACCAATGATGGCGTTTCATCTGGAATCTTCCAGACCAAGTGTTCTTGTCTTGGACGCTGTTGCTCACTTCGCTCCAGAGCTTCCAAGATTGTTTGCTGCTTTGATTCTGGAGTTTCTTCTGTCCAATGCGTTTCTTCACACTTGCACTGCACTTGTCCAACGAGAGCTGAAGTGGATAGGCCCAGTCACCAACAACCAAAATGCACCTTCCGGCAATGCCACATTTCCACCTGAGAGAAGAGCTCTGTCGTCACAGGTCGGAGATGCACGTGGCCATTCTCAAGGCTTGTGGGGGTCATCCAACTAGATTCGTTTCATCATGAAAATAAGGGGTGAATGTAAACCGCTTCAGGGGATTGTGCCATCTACTCTGAAACCACTGTATAGAGAAAACAAGAGGACTTGCATCATACTTCTAGTCTATGCCTATCACCTGTAGTTCAATTTGTTGGTGGCTGCGCCATGCACCCAACGTATCCACATGTACAACGTATTGCTTCATTATTTTTATTCTGGAATGTGCTCCGTCCGGTTGATTCTTTGAGTAACCTCAAGTGGTCATCCTCAAGGCTGACAGCTTGAGAAGGTTTTGGTTTTCGGATGGTTTCCGTGAGAGTCTTCCACGCCCCTGTGGCGTCCAACATTTTGTGCCTGGTGCTTTAGGAAGATCCTTGTTGACATCGTACAAGGAGAGGTGCCGGTAGGCCTGCCAGAGGAGGGGTTGGTCTCACGGTGCATGTCTCTATTAAATTAATATGCGTGCTACACACTAATTACTTTGCACATAGACGCATTCAGTCAAGTCAAATGAATTGCAGGCAGTAAACATAAACACATGTTGCTCACCATGCCCGGCGAAGCCCTACAAAATCACAGGAAAACCCTGTCCTCCTACCCCATGCCCAAACCAATGCATCACAAGAACCCACAGGACAAACCATTATTGAATTGACCAGGACAAGAACAGAACCCCCTCCAAAAAAAACAAATGACCTCTTCCTCCCAATCCCTGCATCCCTTCCCATCCAGAACAAAAGAGAGCAACCCATCCACCCACATGTCAACCCATCCACACCCACTCCGCCCTCACTCCGCCCCCCCCCGGCAAGGCGACCACCACATGGTTTTTATACCGGTCCGTTTGGGCAAGCAGGTCTGTGGTCCTGCGTGGTCGCCCAAACCCACTCCGCCCTCACTCCTGGTCACCGTCACTCAGCAACCCACCAAGGGGTGGGGTGGACGGTCACCGGTCAACTCCACTTCGAAACGCCGAGGGACGATGCCCAAGTTCGCATCCAGGTCCGACGTCTCTGTGACCATCGACTTCACTGCCCGAGCGCCGTTGATGGCCATCTCCACTGTGAGGCCCTGGATCTTGCGCTCCTTGGAAGGCCACGGTACGCACCAGTCAAAAGCACGGCCAAGAAGAGGCTGTTTTGGAGTTGAGGCTTACAGTGCTTTGAGAGTAGATGGCACAAACCCAATGATGTCCTTGAGCTTTTGGTTCCGTGTCAAAGTCTGGCGAGTTGCAGAGTTTTTGGTGTGTTTTTTGGAACTTGTACTTTGAAAAGGACCGGCATTAAATATGAAGCCTATGAACCATGCCAAGCCGCATAGTCTTCCAGAAGTTCTTGTTCCACTTGCCCTATGTGAAAAGGTGAAATCCGTGAACATTATTGTGGAAGCTTGGTCATCAAGAAAGCCAGTGTCCAGCTATTCTGACATGTCTACACGGGCAAGCACGTGGTGCGGAAGAATATCATTTCGCATCAGGCATAAACCAACAATTGACAATGAAATGCTATCAACCTGTGCAACCTGGGACTTAAAACATGTTAGAGCACATGACTTAGAGCTTCATATATTTGTTCAGTTGATTGAAGATGTCAACATGGTTGTGATTGGTTGTGCTTCTAGCATGGCGACCTACGAGCCAATCACCTCAAATATCCGAGGCTCTTGGGGAAACAGTGGTAGGTCGTGGGCGCTACTCACATGCAATCGCCACCCGTGTCTTCCCTGCACCCGGAAGAAGGGGTGACCATGAACGGCCACGGCACCGAACTTGAACCGTACCAGGGCCAACTCTGCACCAGCGCATGATGTTAAAACCCTACAGAACCAGTGTGTCCATAGTGTGTCCATTCCTGCACTGCTGAAAGCCCAAGCAAACCGCCCAAGCAAACCGACAAAGGCGGTCGAGATTCCCCGTGGTACTTCAGTAGGAAATTCTTGAAGGCCGACTTCTCCCCTGCTAAGGCCGCAATCTTCGTCTTCATGTTCTCCATGACGGGCAACGGCGCCGAGGTGGGCTCGGCCACGAGAGGCAGGCCGGCGTCAACATGGGCCGCGATGCGCTTCACACGCTCCATGGGCAAAACTGAGAGGACTGGGTGACCGGGTATAGGGATTGAGCCTTCACTCCTGCACCAAATGAAAATCTGTCGTCGGTGTGAGGCATCGGATTTGAACTGGAACTGTGGCAAGAGTTTTTCCGCTGGTCGGATTTGGCCTCACAGTTGCTAACATGGCCACCCATTTGCTCATGAACTTTGAACACATGCCTGGGGTCCCTGCTTCAACGATCTAACGATCGCCTATCCCACCCAAAGAAAACCATGGCTCCGTGGTCCCGAGGTCTGCCCAAGGCCCCAAACAACGTGGATGTTGTTCAGGATCTTCCGCAAGAGCCTCGTGCCGAGGCGTCTCCCGACGCATCCCGACGCACCCTGCAGGTTCACATGGAACCCCAAAACCACTGGGTGATAGAGGAAAATGGTCGAAACCACCGGTCAATTCTGAGCTTCCATGGGATCGTTTGTGGGAGGGTAGATTTTGGACATGGTGCATGACCGCCCATCACGTGACCACCTTCTTGATTTCTCCCACGGCCGACGGCGACGGCCGACCAAACCGACGGCCTCGGCCTCCCACCTTTGAACCGGCCACTGCCAGCCCGCCTCACGAAAGGTCCTTGGTCCTTAGGGTCTCGCTCCTCTGCCTGCCTGGCCAAAGCCATCTCGTGATGAAGGTGAACGTGTGAAAATGATTGAACATGTCCAGTGAACAGCGGCCTCCCATAGGGAAGATCATGATCATTGAACATGGAAAACCATTCGATTCACCCCTTAGTGCAGTTGATCTTTGTGCTTTTCCAACGTGCAACCGCCGTTGAGACTCCCGTTGAGTTTCTTTCCCCAACATGTGCAAAAACATGTTTGATCTTACAGAAAGGTCAATAATTGTTGGACGGGTCAGCGGGCAATGGATGAAAATGGATGATGTATGATGATGTCGATGGTTCAAGAACTGGACTTTTTTGCTCATGCAACTCCAACCATCCTTCCAGGGTCTGCAGATCTCATTGGCAATTTCTCTCTCACGTCATCCTCGAGGGACATGCCCTGGGCGTCTCGATGATCTCGATGCCCGGGAGACGCCATCCAGTCACGCCCGTTCCGGGCGTCGGAGAAGCTTAGCTGGCAAAAGCATCAGAGACCGATGTGATGAAGCCAAAACTAAGAATGAAAGTGACTGGTCGCATGGTTGGGTGTTGTGAGATGAAACAACTTCCTTGACATGCCATCTGTGCACAAGCAGTTGGCCGAGTGAGGACAGGATCGATATTCTTATGACCGGTACTTGTACTTTCTGAGTCTTTATGGTTCTTGTAGTATGGGGCAGGTTCAACCAGTCACCTCAGCACAACCGGAAAGGGGTCTTCATTGCAGGGTAAAGCTTCCAGACCGGCCAACGGCCAACTGCTCTCGAGTCCTGAAAAAAAAAAGAAGAAAAAGCAATTCTGAAACCTCAAACCCTGCTGAACTGACCTATACATGACCAACTGGAACGAGCCAAACTTCGACTGCACTGAGTACTATATCGTACTATATATATAACACTATAACTAACACTATATACTATATACAACAATATACGTTTACATTTTTTGCACCACACTGGCACGTACTGCAGGAATAGCATGTTTACTACTAAGGGATGAACTGTTGGGTAGCCTGGATGTGCCCACCCACATCTCTATCTCGCAGCCAGGGATCTGCATCTGCAGAAAGATTTGCGGAGCCCTGCAGGGTCACCGGTCTGGGCAACTGAAGGGTCACGTGACTAGTGGAACCAAGGGTCGAAGGCTGCTGAACCAAGGGCTTTACGGCTTCACGGCTTCCCTAAACCACTGGACAAATGTTTAAAAAAAGGGCTGCCCCACGACAGGATGAAAAAGGATGTTGCTCTGTTGCTTTGTCCCCCCGCCTCGTCCGCACCACCTGTCTCCTTTGGAGGAGGTGGGAGGCCTCGACAAAAAGCAAATCCATCCTTCTCCATCCTGCTATAGTATTGCGGAGTCTGGGATGAATCCACCAGTCAATAGAGAAAACATGGGAAAACGTGGCATGGGTTTCGGTTTGTCCTAAGCTCTAGTTTCTTGAAGATGATCTTGCTATATATATATGTATATACATCATGAATTATACATCTTCATCTAGTGACACCGCTGAATGACCAAACAAACAGATCCAAACAAGTCCATCCTACAAAACCCAAGGTGCTCGTCTGGTCAGCCGTGCCCATGGGCGAAGTGCCTCGAGAACGACGAGTGACATGTCGGCGAACGCGAACTGAAGCCCTAACACACTGACCGACCCTCGCATTTGATGACGATAGTGGCAAACATACATTGGAAGAAGCTCTGAGTGTACCTGCTGTTGCAGTATATCATGTGTAACTTGTAACATCTTGTCATCGAAAATCCAAACTCACATTGGCCCCATAAATTCTCTGTAGTGGGACAACTCACTCAAAACTTCTCACACCCAGCCCCCATGGCACCTGATCCTTTGGGATCCTCCGCCTTGCTGGTTAGGACATGCTGTGACAAAGTCTCTGCAACCATCCCAGCATTCGTGGTGGATCCTCAGGCGGAGCACAAACTCGACCCACCGCCTTTTGCTGTAACACCCAAAGATCTTGAAGGACATATTTTTCTGCAACCCTGCGCAGCCAGGTCTGCAGCATGCGGAATCAATGTCGAATCCCTTAGTTTCGCAAACTAACCCCAACTAACCCAGACTGCCTAAAGGCAAAACATGATGAAATGGTTCTGAAGCCAATGAGAACGGATGTCACGGTTTCGCCCGATCAAAGTGTTTCCTGAAAACCACTTGGACAACGGCCGGCTCTCAAATGGCACAATCTCAGCAATTGCCGAAGGTATCAAAACAAACTGATATATATATATATACCATATATATATACCATATATATATAAGCAAATCCTTCCGCATCCCACTTGGGCGTCCGGAACCCCCCCATTGCTCCAAGAGTCCGTGGTCAGTTCCTGAGAACGGAGTGGACGGTGAAGTTAGGTGAGGCCATTTGGACACCAAATCTTTCTACGTGCCTCGAGTGGTTTTGAGGTCTGCTTTTCCTCCAGGCTTTCAACATCTGTTGTCCCGGAGGTCTGGGCTGTATGTGAGTGGATCAACGCCATACACAGTTAGATCTACACCCACAGCTCGCCAGATACGGACCAGAAACACTGATTCTCTCTGGTTCATGGCCTGGGAAAAAAAACATCACACACTGCCTGACAAGCGTCTCGAGTGCTCTCGAGCATGCTGTGCTAAAGACTCTGCCACCTTCAGATCGAGACCTGCTACTGAGCACATTGCCGAGATCCCCTCCCGCTGATGTGTGGGTGGACAGCCATCAGGCGGCCAGGAGTGGTGGCCATTCTCACTTGAACACCCTTCAACCTTAAAACACCGATCTTTCATACCGAAGCCTTTCAATCTTTCTGAATTTGCTTCCTTCAGTTCCTCTGTTCTTTACAAGCGGGCAAATGAACCTTGAAACTTCAACAAGGGTGCGAAACAAACAAGGGAAACATCCGGCGGCTGCCGCACTCTCCAAAGGCACTTATCGACATATCGACCATTTTACCATTGCTATAGGCTATAGCACCATCATGAAAACTGGCTTGAGTGCCATAACAAACCAAAAACACCTCAGAGTTCTGTTGAATGTTCACAATGTCTGCTGTCCTCTTCTTTTGGGGTCTTTTAGCATTGCTTCCGCATCTAAGTTAATGGCTGCAGCTAAACTGTGTTCCTCTTCTCTTACACTTGACATCCAAGCCTGTGGGCTTCCATAGCAACCCCTCCAAAATGAAGTGTCTGGCGGCCACTTTGCTCATTTTGGGCGGTGGCTTCTGGCTATCAATCCTGGTTGCGGCAACCTTACGGGCTGAAGTTTCTGGCCTCCACTGTTTTCACTTTGGGGAGTTGGCTGGTCAAGCCCCACAGAAAGGAGTTGGCACTAAGTTCACTCTGGGCGGTGAGAGGTTGTGCGGGGGCAAGCCTTGAAGAGTGAAGTTTCTGGCCTCCACTTGTGAGGGGTTCTGTAAGAGAAATCTTAAGGGGTGAGGTTTCCGGACTCCACTAACCTCGTTTTCAAGGGCCCCTTCCACAGCAAACAGCTCCCACTAAGTCATTGTGATGGCCCCCTTGTACAGAATCAACCATGTGAGGCCTTCACCAACCCAAGCCTGAATTTGATCCAAAGGGTGTGGGTCAACTAAGTGATGTTGATCCACACCCTTTGGATCAGGGTATGGATCGGGTGTGGGTTTTGGTACTTGATCCGTGCCTTAAGTTTCTGGCCGTAGCCTTCTCAGTCTATAGATAATCAATCAGTTTAGTGCGCCGAGCTGGACCTCAAAGATCGATTGATCCCCGGTTGACCCAACTCCAAACCTGCGCCGTCTGCAGAGAGATCCTCCGCTGAGCTGTCCTGTCCCGGCTGCCCTGGCAGCCTCATTTGGAGCAGCCCGCCATCCAACACGACGAAGCGAAAGGGGGAAAAAGCAAATACTCTCCATGCCATACTCCGATCCCCTCATGGAGGAATATTCAATATTTCCAGGTCCCTGATATTCTCCGTACGAACCTCTGTATTCTACATAATTACTTCCATCGTCCCATGGTTTTCAGCGGATGCCCTTTTGGTGTGCAGTGGGCGTCGCAGAAATCTCCAAAGGTTGGTTGGGTTCTCCAAAACAGCGACCCCAAACAATCCACGGCCTTGATGGTTCTACACTTGCCTGATGCAGCATGAAGATGGCATCCACATGACATCTGTGATTGGGCCTATGGGAAAATTATGATTCATGTTTGAAAAGGTTGCCCATTGTGGTCTGCCAAGCAGCGCTAAAGGAGGTTGATCCTCGCTTGGAACGATCGCCTCAGTGGACCAGCCACCCAAACATAAAAGAGGAAATCAACTCTGCGAAACAAAAAATAAATATTCGACTCAATGTCACCAATGATCCTGGAATGACGGTCCGCAAAACAAAAGAAATCATATATATACATATATATATGTATATGTATGTATGTATGTATGTATGTATGTATGTATGTATGTATGTAT